TCCCCCCGGCCCCTCACCCCGCGGGGTACTCCATGGGCGAGAATACTCTCTGCTTTGCTACTCGCATAGACAGGCAAAGTATAGAGAAGAGTACGCGGGCGAGCGTAGAATCGCGTCCGTGCAATTGAATTTAATTGACTTGACGAGAGAAGAGGAGAACGAACCACAATCAGGACCGAGCGGAATACGAGAAGTACCAATGAGAGAAACGGAAAAGATTCCGGAGAGAATAGTGAAAAGGACGAGGATTACAAATTCGCCGAATGAATATATAAATAGAATGAGAATGGAAGGAAAACGTCAGAGAGGACGACCGAGAAAACGAAGAAATTGGTATACGAGACGAATGGAGGAAGAAGTGAGTCGCGTGGACGACCAATCAGGTGTAAGCGTAGAGGAAAATAGGAACCTCGAGCCGACAGAAAATTTGATAGAAGTCAACGATGAAAGGAAAAGAGGCGAAACCAGCGAAGATACATCAGGAAGAATGAATCTGAAAATTATGATATAATTAATCAAAGGAAAGATAGAGAAACACTCACCAAGAAACGAAGCGAATTACCAAATATCGGGAGAGCAGCGAAGACTTCAATCAGAAAAAATCCCTGGAACCGAATTGTAATGGAGCGAGATCTGAAAATGAAAAGAAACAGTCGCGATAAGTCGAAAAGAAAATACATACTTACCAGCAATGAAGAAGAAAGCTCGGAAGAATTAGCAATAGTGAGAGAAATAAGAAATAGCGGATGGATACAACGGAAAGTGAAAGAAAAGCCAATAGAAAGTAAGGAAGCCGAGTCCGCGAGTGAAAGCGGGAGCGAGCGAGAAGAATTATGTGAAAGAAGTAAGAGCGGAGTAGCAAAAAGGGCCGCGAGGCGAGAGCGATTCGAGGAAACGACAAGAAAAGGGCCGCGGGCGCAAAAAACTTATGCCGCGAGCTCGGAACATAATGCCACCGAACTAGCTGAGGAGAGCGGGGACGCGAGAGCGAACGCGTCGAAGGTGACGCGAAAGATTTCAGTTTGGCGAAGGCAGGCAGATAGAGCGTATCGCGGAGCAGAACGTACGAAGGTAGCGAGAAATACCGGAAGTGCGGGAGTTAGCGATACACGAACGGCGCGCGAGCGACGTGAAAGTACGAGTGAAACCAAGTGCAAGCAGAAGTTTGTTAGAACCGGAAGAATGTCGGACGTTCAACGAACGGAGACACTTGAGGAACTGAAGAGTAATATCGCGGAACGAATCGAAAACTTAGTAACCACCCAAAACGCGCACGAGCACAGGCTGAAAAGGCTACAGCTTGCTCAAATTAAACTGACGCAATTAGAAGAGAAGCAAAGAAGACAAGATGAGACGGCCGAACGAAACCGAGAATCGACCGCGAAGCTGGAAGCGGCGATTGAAGATATCGATGCAAGGATAACGGAAGGACATTGCGTATCGCGAGTAATGCCGATCGAATTAGATAAGAGAGAGGATCGGTAACGTGGCAATTACAATACAGTTGAGAGAGAACGCTCGCATAGCGTTGGAGAACGAGACGATAACGATATCATTCCAATATAAAGATAGCGTGATATCGGAGATAACACCGCAAGTAGGAAATGAAGAAAACAGGCAGTTGGAAGCGACGGCAGAAATCAGTGAGGTGGATACAATTACAGTGACGAATCAGGAACAGATAGCAGATGCAGACGAACGACGGGAGGAAGAGACCGTGATATCTCACAAGAACAATGATAGTGATAGAGACACGGAGAGTGAACGCGAGTCAACGTTGCAAGTAGCAAAAATTGCAACGGTGACGTTCGAAACAATTAGTGATGATGAACCGGAAGTGATGTACCAGCATGTACGGCAAGAGACAGTTACCGAAACGTGCTTGGCGAAAGTAGAGGCAGTATTACAAGTTGAAAGGACGCTTCGCCCCGAAGCCGCAATGAGGCCAGGACAACGACCATGGAGACGACCACGAGCACCGACCCGGATTGTTCCGTTTGGAAAATCGCGCCAATTGCAGCCAATTATTGCGATTTTGGGAGACGCATGAAACTGGAGGCTACGCACCGGCTTCATCCCGGATCGGCGCTATCAACCGAGAAAAGGTAGAAAATATATTGTGATTAAGAAATGTAAATAGTGTAGATTAGAATTAGGAATAGTTATAGAGACGGAAGAAAATATGTAAGAAAAAGAAAAAGGTTAGTTAGGATTAAGTTGTATATAGTCGTTAGAGGCCCGTAAGGCCACAAAACCGTAGACACGGTGTCAATTTGATGAATAATTATATAACGGGTGACGGGAAAATATTAAAGTATTAGAATAAAATAGATATAAAATGAACCGGAATCACTATGGAGTAAACTGACCGTCAGAATCGTTAATTGGATCAATAGAGTTGAGTAAGATGTTAACGAATTCGAGATTATACCGGGTGACTGAGAAAAACGGTTATGAAGTAGTTAAGATTGGAATATTGAGTAAAGCCACCGTTAATATTATTAGGAGTACCGTTAGAATACGGACGAGTCATTATGAGTGATAGATTATACCGGGTGATAAGATAAAATTGTCAAGTAATAATTATTGTTGGCGGATCGCGAAAAACGACCGTAGCGTTTCATTTGAACGGTGATAAAGGGTGTTGGTCAAATATGGGATCATCACGTATATCGGGTGACCATAAATTATTGTCATTACACAGATATAATGAGAATTGGAATAAATCGAACCGTAGGGTTGACAGTGACTATTAATAGAGATAATTGAGATTAGTAGAGCGAACAGAATATAACGGGTAGTCAATAATAAATTGTTATTACATACATTAAGCGAGCGGATCGTGAAAAGCGACCGTTATTATAATGAGGAACCGATAAGAAAGAGGAATGAGCGCATATTGAATGAATACGGATACCGGGTGACCGCGTAAAAATGTTATTGTAAGTAAAAGGTGACGGATTGGGAAAAGCCACCGTCATTGCTTGTATGAACACTGGATAAAACGGTAGTTAGAGTTTGGAAATGATCCATGTACCGAGTGTCGGTAAATATTGTCAAGTAGGAATGAAAGTAGACGGATTGGGAAAAGCCACCGTAGTTACCTTAGTAAACATTGAACTAAAGCCTATGTAGAGTCTTGAGTTGATCGAGATACCGAGTGTCGATAATTAATAGTAATGATAAGCGAAAGTTGAGAGATCGGAATAACCGACCGTCATTGTGCTAGATAACACCGACAGCGTGTACCTTGTAAATTTCAGATCGATCCGATAACCGGAAGTAGGAAAATTACCGTTATTGTGCCAACAGAGTTACGTAGCGGGAGATCTACGGTTAGCATGTAATGTATATAATGTATATAGGATAGAGGGGAAGGTAGCCGATAAGTAGAAAACCTGTAAATAAAGAATTCATTAGCAATTAACGATACTTACCTGTGACTCCAGCGGGAGAAGACCAGCGGCTGCATTTCCATTGATGTATTGTACCTGAAAATAAAGAAAAGTGTTAAATAAAAACTAATATAATGTAATAATAATGCAGGAAATATAGTAAGCGGCGTAGTTAGTAAGAATTCAGCTAACGCTGCGAGCGCGTCGAGTGCGCATGTCGTATAGAGAGGGTAGAGCACCAGAGAAGGGAGCAAAGGTAATATAAGCGAGAGCGCGGGGCGAATCGAGGCCTTTTGTCCGCCGTGAGAATTAAAATGTAAAGGCTGTTCGTCGGGAAAATTTTATGGGATACGCCGCAGGAAATTAAGTTGTTCGACGGGATTAATTAGGCTTTTTGTTCGCCGGGAGAATTATTGGGACTGAAATTTTGTCCGCCGTGAGAATTGAGATGTAATGTAAATGCTGTTCGCCGTGAGATTTGAATTAGGCTGTTCGCCGGGAGAGTTAAGTAGGCTGTTTGCCGGGATATTCTAAGTGAAAGGCTATTTGCCGGGAGTAAAGTATGCGGGAGTGCCGCCGAGATAATTAGATGAGATTAGTATAGGCTTAAGCGCCGGGAGAAATAATGTTCGCGAGTATAAGTTATTAAGGCCGTACGCCGTCGGAAATAATGAGATTATCAAGTAGGATATTTGTCAGTATAAGTTACGTGAGTGAGAAGGCAAGTTACGGACGTGAGGGGAGTTGCGAGCGGGACCGTCGGAAGTCACGGGCGAACAAGCCGATGGTGTAATTAGCGACGGGGGCCCGGCTCCAAGCGTACGGATTATAATAAGGAAGATAAGCCATTACCGTTAGAAAGTGAATGATGAAGTAGTGAATGTGAAATGTGAATTAATAAAACGAGAATAAGAGAATTTGGGCGCAAGTGATGGATGTAAGATGCGGAACGAGAATAACATAAGAACGACCGAGCGAAGCGTACCTGAACAGATGTAACAAGACAAAGAGTGCTACGACTAATAAATTGTGATTAATTTTCCTGCAATCATCATTGACAATCATTGCAAAACCTATCCTGTACTATCATTAAGCGAGATCGGAGCGGATTACACAGGGATCGCAACGAGACAAATTAAGGGAGCCCTTAGCGGGCGAATCGAAACCTTCTCCTTTGGAGGTTAAAAGGAGTGGCGACCGGAGACAATAAGACGACAAGGGCCCGAACGGTAAGATTATCATTTAAGATTCGGTCACAACCTTAAATTGAAGGCTATGTTGTGACCGAACTTAAACTAACAGTCTTACTACTCGGTCTCCTGACAATTGGTTGTCTCCGGTCGCCACTCCTTTTAACCTCCAAAGGAGAAGGAATTCAGTCTTCTGCAAGGTTGCCTCTTTGGTCCTTCCGCTGCGGTCGGTCAGTGATCCGCGTCGACTTCTTACATTGATAACAGAGGATGGGTTTAATAATGATTTACAGTGGTAATTTCAGGAAACTTATCACAAATTTATTAGTCGTAGCACGCAATTATCTGGTTTACAAATTCACTTCAAACATTGGCATCGCATGGCTTGGCACATAAGCCTATTCCCATTAACTTTACTGCTTTATTCTATCTAACACATCGTCGGCATCACAAGCCGGCACTCAATACATTCGCTTCGTCGCGACTTCCTTAATGCTGGCACACATGCCTATAACATCTATAACGTATTTCACGTTCTCACGGCAAACAGCCTAATTTCTATAATTTTCCCGGCGATCAGCCTATCACTTTATCACGTTACATATTATTCTCACGGCGAACAGCCTATTAATTACCAAGGCGAACTGCCTAATTCATTACTCCCGGCAAATGCCGTAAAATTTCCCGGCGAACAGCCTATTTATAAATAACGTTACATCTTAATTTTCACGGCGGGCAAAATGCCTATTTAATTCTCTCGGCGAACATCTTAATTTCCTGCGGCGTATCCCATAAAATTTTCCCGACGGACAGCCTATATTCCTCTTGCGCTCACCCTTATATCACCTGCGCTCCCTTCTTTCGTGCTCTACCCTCTCTATACGACATGCGCATTCGACGCGCTCGCAGCGTTAGCTGAATTCCTACCAACTACGCCGTTTAATATATTTCCTGCATTTTTGTTATATTATATTAGTTTTTAATTAACGCTTTTCTTTTATTTTCAGGTACAATATACAACTGGACATGCAACCGCTGATCTACTCCCGCTGGAGTTACAGGTAAGTATTTTAAATAATAATCAGCTCTTTATTTACAGGTTTCGAACTTGAAGGCTACATTCCCTCTTATCCTATATACATTATATACATTACTCACTCGCCGTAGATCTCACGCTACGTAGCTCTATCGGTACGATAACAGTAATTTACCTACTTCCGATTATCGGATTGATCTGAAATTTATACGGTACACTCTATCGGTGTTATCTAGAACAATGACGGTCGG